TGTTAAGCTGCTACAATACCAAATGAGTGATTAGCGTTCTGTTTATGCAAATGTTACTCCGATGCGCCCCGATTCTATCCATCTATGGGAACTTTGTTCATAGGGACAAATGATCATTCATGACTTGTAGTTTTCTGTGAAATACCTTGTTTCCCTTCATTTAACTGTATGTTCAGTAGAGAAATGCCAATTATGTGAATTATGAATGCTTTGGTTTCATTATGTAACCGTAAATATTATTATTGTTTATCTATATCTTTCGCTTATTCATTTCTCTATTATACTTATTCTGCAGACTATCTACATGTACCTCTGTACCTCTGTGGCCCTTCCCTTTCTCTACTATTACACCATCAAAAGCTAATCACCTGTCTCTTCATTATTGGCCGGGACCCAGGCACCCAGGGAGGTTTACTCATCCATTACCTGATCAGAACCTAACAGTCCCAAAGTCTCTATAACAAATTGGTCCTTCGAGCCGGATGAGTATTCCCTTCTGACATGATGGATCCTGATGAGGAGATTATTGCTGGTGTTCGTCCTAAACGCCATACTCGTCCTCCAGCTTACCTACAGCAGTATGAAGTACAGTACACCCGAGGCGGACCTGTCGCTGAGTATGATGTCTCACACCCCTGGGAGGCACCTGTCTATCGGACCCCCCCCCATCCTTCAAGCCTTACGCCACTCCCCCTGGTGGTTACCTGGTCTGTTCTGAGGGCTCTCGAATCATGTCCTCAACTTATCAGCATCCACAGCAGGCTGAATTCCATCAGCCATCCTTCTCTTCTCCTCAAGCGGCTGGGTTCGTTTCCTCTGCACACGACAGTGAACTACAGCACCTGCGTCATGAGCATGCACAATTAATGCAGACTCATCAGGCTTTTCAGGCAGACCTGAGGGAGCTGAGAGATGTCCGTGCAGAAGTCAGAGAATTAGTTCAAGTTGCTCAGTCCCTTCGAGCTGACCTTCAAACCAGTCAAACGAGTGAAACCAGAGGTCAGAATCTCTCACCTGCACAGCCACCGGTGTTGCAGTTATCCAGTCCGCCTGTGAGGCGGTATGAATCCACACCTTTAGCGGAGGATAGTATATATATATATATATATATATATATTAATGTTTTTAATACATTATATTTATCCCATAAATATTATATTATAATGTTTATAAATATATTAAAGTGTACATGTATATACAATACATTTTTTATGTATTTATAAATCAAGTAAAATTGTATTTGTACAACTATACTTGTGTTTGACCCCCCCTTAAAAATATTAGTAATAATAATATTGTATTTTTATAAAATATATGGGGATAAAATCTCGTTTGTGTTAGCCAGCTACTGGACAACAATGTTTAATAAAACACAAAAATCCAACGTTCTGGTGGTGGTCAGTAGGGGAATGTAGAAATATTGAGCTGTGATTCTCATTTCTATAAAAAAATTTAAAAAATAATAAAATAAAATAGAACACCTGAAAGTTTTCATTTGCAAAGCGTAAAAGCACATTTATGTGTAACTCTCTAACACTGGTCATGGACCATCAGACCATCCTTATTGTTTAGCCCTAAAGTGATGTACCTTTCTTATTTTGGTACACAGCTGCTTGCTAAGTTGTTCTGTGTGGAGTCAAGCTCTCATTTAGTGCAAGTCAGTGGGATGTTTTGCCCTTGTCTCATCATCTACCAGGTCAAAAATCGAAAGCCTAATCACGTAGAAAGAAACCACATATCTCAACTATAAGCTGCCTGTTCAAGGTGTCATAACAGTGCAGAATAATTTTCCCACTGGGTTCAAATCCCTAACTGTAAGTACAAGCATGGCGATCTTTGGATTAGCAAGTACCACTAATAAACTTGTGGCTTGGCATGTGTCCTTTCTTGGGCTCTTACTGGTGCTTCTCTCTAAGTGTGATCTGCATGTGCGAATCTCTCTGTTCTGTTCTGTTCTGCATCTCTCTTGTGATTCACCCTGAAACCTGCCTGACTCCACATGACTGTTTATTACAGCCACACATGTTCTTCAGTCCGTTCTCCATCCCACACGAAAACACTCTCTCTCTCTCTCCCTTTACTTGAGCTGACGTCCTCCAGTAATACCACTCAAGCTGATTACCCCTTAGCCATGCAGGCGGGTTCAGTGGGAGACAGAAAGAGAGAGAGAGGAGGGATCTTTGTAGGTGGGGGATGAATAGGTAATCCAAAGAGGCCCACAGCACACAAGAGCTCATGAAAATTGTGTTTTATACAGCTGCTGTAAACCAGTATGCGTCCTGTTGGGAATATCCCTTTCTTCTGGCACAGGGCCAACTCACAATAGACCCAATGCTAAATTTCAGATGTGAGTGTGACCATGAGCATAGTGCAGACGTAAACCAAAGCTCCATTAAGGGCCAAATGAACACATATAGCACAGTAAATATCAGAGCTCAGATTTCATGATTGGATTTTGGCTTTCTGAGCTTTTTTGGTACAAAGCATTTTTAAACAAACAAGGTTAGATGGTCTCGCCTAACCTCTCCATTGATTTTCAGTCTGGTCCACTTCCGCCCACTTAGACAGGAAGAGACCGTCTGACCGACTGATCTAAAGCACCCAGCCACAGTTTATTTGTTTTATGTGCTGTTTAGGGGTGAGTGAATCTGAGAATAGTATCAGATAATCAGATAATAACAATAATAGACTAGTGCTATCAATTAGTCAATAAATAATATTTGGCTCAACCAGAAGTTCAGTTGTGATTTTGTTAGTTCATTTATTTAAAGTACTTATTTAACATATATAGCTTAAAAAAAATAAATATACAGTTACGTTTATGAATATTTCGTTTATTTATTTTTAAGGTTCTTTTCAATGGATCAGAAACATACATCACGACCAATGTAGTCCAATTCCTGAACAAATGACTCTGAGTTTTAATGATTTAAGCACATATCGCTTACTATAACTTACTGTAACTGTAGACAAAAATATACATCATATTTTGTCAATGACATGTTACCATATTGTTTAACATTTAAAATATTATATTTGTAATATTATTATTGTGTTTTTTTATCATTTAAAATAACTTTTCTATTTTTATATATAATTTTTTTTTATATATATATAAACTGTCTTATGATCATCAAGTCTTCATTTATTTGATCAAAAATGAAAGTGCAATTACAATTTTTTTTTTTTTTTTTTTTTTTATGTAATTTATTCCTGTGATGGCAACATTTAATTTTCAGCAGCAGTCTTCAGTGTCACGTGATCCTTCGATTTCATAAATATGCTGATTTGGTGCAAAGAAACATTATTGTTGAAAACAGTTGTGCTGCTTAACATTTTTTGTGGAAACTGATACATTTTTGAAAAGATTTTCTGATAAATAGAAAGTTCAAAAGAACATAATTTATTTGAAAAATAAATATTACTAATGCTTTACTCTCACTTTTGATCAATTTAATTCATTCTTGCTGAACAAAAGTAGGCTATGTATTTTTTCTAATAAAACTACTAAAAGAATCATTCATTGAATTGCAACAAATGGAATCGTTAAAATGATTTTGCAGCTCCCTTTCCTACTTGCTACTACGTCTCTCAAACAAAAACAGATGATTTTTTAGAGATTTAATGCAAAACAAACTTTTTCAAATCTAGTTATTTCTTCCACACAAGCCTCACAATCTGATTGGAGCTTGTTATTTTTAAAAATGTTTCTCACTTTTGTATGTAATACGCACGAGACTGTCAGCGAACAGCCCATGGGTGTGCCATATTGATGCTTACTGAAGCTTAGAGGCAAAACGTCTATTTTGTGTGAAATTAGATCCACTCAGATGAATATAACCACAGCAGGTGCGCTGTATAAACAGCAGGTATGACCGTCCCAGGATGCTGTGTGCTTGTTCCAGACAACTCGAAGCAATTAAGCAGAAATGTTGCCACAACAATCCTCTGTGACATCACATCAGGACAACAGCCAGGACAATAACTTAATGTGGTGCTGCCACCTATTGGCCAAAACTGATATTACTTCAACAGGAAAGCTCAATACTTGTGCTCAGAGACAGTCTTTGGCATTGTCTTTGAAGCTTGCTCATGTCTCAGGGGAGTACCATTACATAATGTGTTTGAAGTAGAAAAAAATGGGGAAAATGGTGATAACAGGTGTATATATATATGCACCTTGAGGCATTGTTCTGTTTCAGATGACTTTGTTGAAGGTAGTGTGGGCTTTATCATGACTGTGCGCCTGTGTGTATTCATGCACGTGTGATTTAAGAGCAGTGGGAAGGACTACAGATGCTGCAGGGGCTGGTGGGTGTGCGTTATCAGCATTGTGCCAGCGTGTCCACATGACTGCCCAAACTGGATTAGTCAGTGCAGTGCGTGAAGCTTCTTATTTTATCTTCTAATTCCAAGCAGGAGAATGTAAATATCACTCCTCAGTAGGCTCCCTCTATCTCTCGCTCCCTTCTGTCTGTGTTTTTCTGTCCTTTCTCTCCTTCACTGACTCATTAAATTGGTTGTGCTGAATTCTGATTTTGAGAACTGGCTCGCTTTCATTTCACAAAATGGAATTAGAATTTATTTGGCCACACCCCACAGGAAGTTGAATTGTAATGAAAGGAAGAGGACTTTGTTGAATTTGAAAGCATAATGAAATTTTGTCAAATTTTGTGACATTATCACAATTTTCTATTTTAACATTTTAAAATGTAATTTAATTGTGTGATGGCAACACTGAATTTTCAGCATCATTACTCCAGTCTTCAGTGATGATCCTTCAGAAATCATTCTAATATGCTGATTTTTTTTTTATATAAATTAGAGAATTCCGGGAAATTAATTGCTTTTCTACAATGATTGATACAATGAAAGTTTTTAAAGATGTAATGAAATATTTTTTAATTAAATGTCTGTATAAAGTGGAAAAAAAGTAGATTAAACTGTAGTCCTAATTACATATCTAATTTCTTCTTCTTTTTTTTTTCTTTGCCCATCAGGTCCCAGATGGGCATCCTGGAATCTTGGAATCTTCATTTGTATCCGCTGTGCGGGAATCCATCGGAATCTTGGCGTGCACATATCACGAGTTAAATCCATAAACCTGGACCAGTGGACTCATGAGCAGATACAGGTAAGCTTTATGGGCCCTGTTTATGTATGATCTATGTATATGGCTGATTGATATAGATGTGTTTGTGTTGTGCTCAGTCTGTTCAGGAGATGGGGAATGCCAAAGCTCGGCGACTATATGAGGCCTTTTTACCAGAGTGCTTCCAGCGCCCAGAGACAGACCAGTATCCTTCAGCGCTTATATATACAGTATGTGTGTGCATGCATGTTTAAGCTTATTCTCCCCTCATGTTAAAGGTTTCCTTAAGCTACACCTTACAGAGCTTCTGAGATTTTTATCCGTGACAAATATGATAAGAAGAAATATATGGATAAATGCATTGACATCCAGTCCTTCAGGGTAAGAGATTTTGGAATTAAAAATTCTCATTGTAATTTTATCTTTTACTTTGATTTTGTGAAAGAATAAAATACATTTTCTTTCCTTTTTTAGAAAGAAAAGAGTGAGACAGTAACAAAAGAGGCTCCTGTTGTTTTTGAAAAGATGAAGCTGGTGGGTTTCAGCATTTGTGAAGTTGAGCTGTAGCAGTATAGTATAGTATCAGTATAGTATATAACTGTATTTGTGGCAGCTGTTGCTTTTCAACATTTTAGTCATATAAACTGGGAATATTGATATAAATGCTAAAAACAAAAAGTTATTTAGGGGGAAACATTAAAAACACATTTTATTATTTTATTATTATAATAATAATAAGTTGTAAAAACATTAAAGAAATACATTTGATTTTACAACTTGATTTATTGATTTTTTTATCATTGTAATTTAGATTAGAATTGGATTATTATATACATTCATAATAATTTATCAACTTAAGGGAGCTTTCACACTAGTACTTTTGGTGCTTTGACGTCAGAGTTCGGTTTGTTTGGATAATGTGAATGCTATTTTCTGAACTCGGGTGCGCAGCTGCAAACCGTACCTGAGTCCACCTAAAAAGGCTGGTCTGGGGTACGGTTCATGCGAATATTTACGTGTTTGTGTCACTCGCTTTCCTGAAAAGCGTGACTGACGCTCTGCAGCAGAGACAAGTTCTCTTGGTTTGTTTGGTCTGGATCAAAAAAGAAAACGATACATTTGGTCCTGGTCCGCTTAGCGTTCACACTGGCATTTTTGACAGCGAACCTAAAGATACCGAACCAAAAGGCATAGTGATACGTTCACAACCTGATTGGTCGGGTTGAATGACGTATATTTCACGACGGAACTGACCGAACAAAAGCTGTGTTTGACTTAAAGTGGCGCTGTGCAGACCGATCTGTGTATGACATCAAAGTTCCCATTCACCGATCGGTCTGCTCAGCGCCGCTTTGTCGAACACAACTAATGCGGTCTACTGGACAAAGTGTGCTCATTGCTGCGTGTACTTATGATTTTATTTTTACCACCTGCAAACTCCCGAAGAGCTCATAAAAGGCACTTTACCTCCTCGTTGCTCCACATTTGCTCATTTTGTTTTGGATACACCGCTCATTCCGCGTCATCAAATCATGTCGCATAGCATTGCATCTTGTCATTACTTCCTGTTTTTGGTTCATTTAGAAATATTTGGTCCGTGTTGCGTTCATATTTCATTCGAACCGCACCAGAGTTCGTTTGGAAGCGGACCGAGATCCATCTTTTTAGCGGTCTTGGTCCACTTGTTTGGTGCGCACCAGGGTTCGGATGGCAGCATTCACACTTACTCAAACGAACCGCACTACCAGAGCAATCGCATCAGGGTTCGTTTTAATCGAACCAAACATGACAAGTGTGAACACACCCTATATCTAATTTCTGCTCGCAGAAATTGACTCCGGCGTTCTTTTGAACCTTTGCATTACAGTCATGACAAATAGACACATGTGCCGTTCTGTGTTGGCGCTTTGGAAATTAATCAAAGTTTTCAAAATCTGAAGTACAAAAAGGAAGTGAGCAAGTATCCATTCATTTTGCCGTCCTCTGCATAGTCGTTACCTAGTAACGGGGTAAACAGCTGCCACTCTGATGACACAAGTGTACCACGGTTTGGTACCAAAAAAAAAAAAAACACAGTATGAATACAAACCAGCAGGGGCGGTGGGAGGGGGGAGCAATTGAACTCGGATTCGGACCAGGCAATCGAACCAAGTGTGAAAGCACCCTAAGTCGCTAAGTCGCACCTTGAAGTCATGTTGAGAACCAGGGGGTTAGTTTATAGACCTAAAACCTGGGAGAGAATTAGAATTTTTGAGCTATGCGTTTCCTTCTGGAATTCCTAGTTTTTAGAATAGCGGTTTTCGAATTATGATTAAAATTGTAGTTAATGTTACTTGAAGAGACTTTAATGTTTTGTTCTAACCTTATGCTGCATACCCATACTCATAAACTGAACACAATCACAAAACATTTCCATTTTAAAATCACATTAGAATTTCCTAAAGGAGCCTTCCAAGTTGACCGTCAAATTGTCGTCTTGACTGAACGACTCTTATTTAAATAACAAAATGGTGTTTTCATCATTAACGCATGATTACATTTGTTTGTCTCACAGAAAAAAGACGAGTCACAACAATTCAAAAACAGTCCAAAGCAGTCACAGTCTGTTAATGACTTACTAGGACTAGGTGAGAAGCTAACAAACACACCATACATATCAGTGCAATCACAAAATTGATGCTTAATGTTGAAACTCTCTTTCCCAGATGCCCCTGCTCCTAAAGCTCCCGTGTCCAATGGCAAACCAAGCACTGAACTCAGTCCTGCCCTCGACCTCTTCAGCTCTCTGCATGCCACCGTCAGCAGCTCAAACTCCTCCAGGAGCACGGTAAAGATTTTCATACAGTCCAGTTTTCACTTCATTCTTTGACTATCTTGGATCCATCTTTTTTTAGTGATTAATGCATGTAAACCAAGTAGTTTAAGTGTTTGTTTGTTTTTTTTCCCCCACTGTAGCCTAGCCCAGGGTCCATACCCACTGGACGGGTAGCAGCATCAATGCCCGAAAACCTCAGCCTGTTCCTGGATCCCCCCTCCAAAAGTGAGGACAGTGGAAAAAAGCTGTCTAAGGACTCAATCTTGTCCCTGTACGGCAGTACAGCACCACAAACAAACATGGCTGCTCATGGTGAGATTAGTTTCAGGATAAAGGCATATTTGAAATGACTTACATGTTTTCTGTCACTTTGTACTGTTTATGCATGTTTATCTGTTTCCGTTTTAGCTGGCATGTATATGGGAGCAACCCAGATGGGCTATGTCCCTGCTGCAGGGTACGGCCAATACCAGGCCCTGGGTGCCCAGCAGAGCATGATGGGGCCTATGATGGCACCACAGATGAACATACTGGGACATACTGCTCCTCCGTACATGGCAGGGGTGCAGGGGGGCATAATGGGAATGCAGAATGGGATGATGGGAAACATGGCAGCAGTTCCTCAGCAGGCATATGGTGCACAGCAGGCCCAACAGCTGCAGTGGAACATCAGCCAGGTAACAAGCACCGAATTCACCATTACCATGCTGACTTGAAACGGCAAATATTTCGTTTTTTTTCCCCCACAGTGGTAGCCCAAAAATGTTTTCATGTATGTTTAATTCGAATTAAATCCATTTTGTTTGTTACTGCAAGAACACAGGTTATAATGATTTTAAAATCTGAAATTCAAATTCTGTCATCATTTATTCAGCCTTATGTTGTTCCAAACGAGTATGTATGACCTTTTGTGAAACACAAAAGAAGATATTTTGAAGAATGTACAGGTTTTTTCCATGTATTTATCATGAATGGAGAGCTTTCAAGCATCACAAACCTGCAAAAGCACAATAAAAGTATCCATAAGACTCATTCGCTATATTGAAAGCCTTCTATAATGTTATAAAATGTATAATGTTACAAAACTTTTCTATTTCAAATAAATGCTGTTCTTTTGAACTTTCTATTTATAGTCAAAAAAAAAAAAAAAAGGTATCACGGTTTACACAAAAATATTAAGCAGCATAACATTTTCAACATTGATAATTGGAAATGTTTCTTGATCACAGCATTGTCATCACAGGAATAACTTACATTTTAAAATATATTAAAATAGAAAGCAGTTATTTTAAATTGTAATAATATTTCACAAAATACTACTGTTTTTACTGTATTTGTTATTATGATAGTTGCAGACTTAGTAAGTATAAGAGACTTCTTTTATCGACCCTAAACTTTTGAACAGTATTGTTCTTACTCTTATGACTGCTAACATAATATTTCAGTGATTTAAATTTCATCTGTTCTTCACATGAATCTGTAGTGTGGCTTATGAAGATGCAGATGCACTTTTACGATGCTTTTATCATACTTTTTTCACTCTTTTTGAAGCTTGAAAGCTTCTTTATGTCTCCCTAGTTAGTTCCCTGTGGAACATGAGGCTGTGGCAAGCAGGCAGCCACTGCATTTTAATCATGATCCAAACAAAGATGCTGCATACTTGCAATATGAGCAGTTTTTAATCTAAATTATATTGTATAATTTCGAAATTTGAAGCAAAAACAGAACGATTTGACTTCAATTTTGTGAAACTATACATAAAAAATATCTGTATGAAACAGAAACAGCAGACGAGCTGAATGAGACGCAGATGCACTCTCTGCCAGCAGGTGGCGCTTAAAGCGTTTCTTTGGTTTCCGCTGTAAACAAAGCAGCGCTGCACTTAAGAACTTTTAATATGCATTATACAGAGGCAAGATGAAAAGACAAAATACCATCGAAAGACAGTACGTCCCCCTCAGACATGGATTTATATAAACTCCTACCACTAATTGAATCGTGATTTGTTTAGCATCTCAACCAATTTGAATGGTCACGTATGTGAATCGATTTTCAACCGGCTCACGGTTAACTTAATAGTTACATCCCTATTTATGCTTTTTATAGCTTGGTGAATATGTGGTCTGAAATGACACTGCTCGCTACTGGCCAATACGTGATCATCAGTGATGTACAGTGGTGTTTGTATCCCATCATTGGTTGCTGAATGTCTCTTTTATTGTGCATAAAGATTTCATTTTAATCTGCACTGCATTTTTTTTAGGGTTTGTATGTTTGTTTTCTTTATTCTGATTAAATGGGACCACTCCTTTCTCATAATTAGGCATAACCTGTAAATACCATGTTTGTGATATAATGAGACTTATAACCCTCTATATATGGTCCAAGGTTTTATCTTTAATTTAAAACTATTGCTATAATGACACTTTATAATAGCAGCTTGTATGCATGAATCGTTCATTGAGAAAGTTTGATTAGACACCTATCAATTTGTGTGCATGCTAGACATTCCAAAAGTGCATTCATTGGACGTTCAAACTGACGTCATATCAGTGGGCTGAAAAGTATTGCTGCTGATTTGATTCATCTCGGCAGGTGGCTCTGCTTTCAACTTGAATGTATCTGTCTGGTTTGAGTGATTTGGATCATGTCATTTAAAGAAGAATGTTGTAGTGCTCTGTGTCAGGGGTGTCAAACTCAATTCCTGGAGGGCCGGAGCCGTGCAGAGTTTAGATTCAACCCTAATTAAACACACCTGATTCAACTAATAATGTCCTTCAGGCTTATTTGAAAACTACATGGTTTGTGTGTTGGAGCAGGATTGGAACAAAACTCTGCAAGGCTCCGGCCCTCCAGGAATTGAGTTTGACACCCCTGCTCTATATAAAGCAATATGGGGTCCTGTTTAAAATTTGATTTATAATAATACATTGGCACATAGTTAATCCGTAGAGAAGCAATCATTCTAGAGGTCTACAACTGCAACTGCTGCATAAACATAACACATAAACACATAAAATGAATGCTTTTGTTTTAAGCTAGCGGTAAATGTTAAAAGCTCCATTGCTGTTTTCTTAGTATGCATCACATTTTTCCTTTTTAGAATATGGAGAGCTTGTTTCCACACATGCTTGCAGACTCAAGGAAGAGACTCCGACAGCTGTGTAATGGTTTTCATCTCCTTTTGGTGAAACGGTGCTAAAACATCATCATGCCCACATGACATTGTGGAGGTCTTGAACATTCTTCCTCTGTGAACTCTCACCTGAGAGGATGTAACGTCACGTAAGTGTCTGTTACACTGAAGTGGTCCCAGCATTGCGGCTCACAGTGAATGTGTAATGTGGGTTACTTGCAAAGTTTGAATTTCATTTTAATTTTCAGACATGCATTACAAAGGCTTGAATGTGAAATAAGATGAGAAATAAACATCTTGACAGCAATTAAGTGATGTGATTATATAGTGTATTCTCTTTAGTGGCACAAATGCAATAAATAAATTAATAAATAACAATCATCCACACATAAGTGGATGATGAAAACGTTTTAATTATTTGGGAGGTGGAGAAGTTCTTTAGAAGGTTAAGCAGTTGAAATGTATTTTTTTCAATTTGCATATATTCAACTTAATTCATGTTATAATGAGTGAATGAAGCGTTTTATTAAGAGCAGTGATTCAACAACGGTTGCTGTAGCTGCCTTAATGGAGAGTTTGTACTTTAGTGTGAGAAGGTAGGTAGTTTTGTTGTAGCAGTGAGATTCAAAAGTTGCTGCCACTTGCACAACAACCACTAGGGGGATAGGTTGCTGCGATTTTGCCAAGTCAGACAAGTTCCTGGAACACCATCTTTTGTTGATCCTGGAACATTGCTGTCCAAAAACATAACCCTATTCCTACCCTTAAACCTAACCCTACCCATAATGTATCCCTAAAATCAGAGGGAAATGATAGCTGAATAACAGGGGTGTAGAAGCACCTAACCCTTGTTGTAAGCCTAAAACTGACATTTCCTGTAAAGTTGTTCCTCAAATCTGATTGGTTGATTGGGATGTTGTTCCAGGAACAATGAGGGTGTTGATCCAGGAACATGTTGTACTTGGTGAAATCACATTCACCCAATCGGCTAGTTGGAAATTGATAAAGGTTGGAGTTTGTCGTCCATTTAGCTTTCAAATGTAAGCTTTTAAACCCTCTGGTTATGGAAACATATGGGTAGCAGTAGCAGTATTCATTTTGATTTGTAATATGCAAAATTGCCATTTCCTACACTAGTCGCCTATATGTATTTAATTTACCTATTAAAACTAGTGTAGGAAATTACAAATGTAAATTTAAATACAGAAATACATCGTCATTTTACATATTACATTGCTATTTTGCATATTACATTTCAAAATTAATATTGCTGTACCCATATGCTTCCATATCTGGTCATAAAATTCGGTCATTTAGACCTGATTTTTAATTTAATTTTTATTTATTTTTAAATCGCGGCTTCATCGGTATGGTACGAAACTCAACGACTTATGGCAGTTGCTATGTGACCACAAAAAAAAAGAAAAGTGTACTTGATTAGAAAAAGCTAAATGGTCATTAAAAAAATAATTAAAAAAATAGTCACACTTGTGTTGTTCGTGTTGACCGCCATTGGACATGAATGTGAAACAGAACTTTTTTTGTGTGTGTACAATCTACAAATCGTTTACGATGCAGAAAAAAAGTGCACAGTAATGAAGGGGTGACACTCTAAAATATCAAGAGTGCAAAATGTACACACTGAGAATGGGGAAAATGTTATCCTAATTATTGCATAAATATTAATCTCTCTCAAAATACAAACTAAAAAAGAAAAAAATAATTTAATTTATTTAACAAAAATATACTACGTTGATTTTACTGAAAAAAGTTACATTTCAGGTGTTCGATCACTTTTGACCGTGAACAACACAAGTGTGACCCCCAAATGAACAATAGCAGAGGGTTAATCACGTTTTACTTTAGAGCAGGGGTGTCAAACTCAGTTCCTCGAGGGCCGGAGCACTGCAGAGTTTTGTTCCAACACACATAGGCTACTATGTAGTTTTCAAATAAGCCTGAAGGACTTGATTAGTTGGATCAGGCGTGTTTAATTAGAGTTGAATCTAAACTCTGCTTTAGAAGGTACTGTACTTTTAAAATACTGCCATTTAGTTGCCTGTTATCTCTGTCCGTCCCTTCTCCATTTCTCCTCTTTTGTGATATAACGATGTCGTAATGTGCGTCACAACCATATATAGACGTCTACTTCTAGTGTAGTCACAACACAATAGACTTCTCATTTAGTGTAGGCCTACTGTGAACTCAACACAAATTTGCTTGCCAGGTGTTGCCATTCTTCTGGAAAATGGAGAAGGTGTTCCTCTATAATTTCTGGACAAACGCTAATTCGGCTAACTATTTGTCTATGCACTTTCCGTTTGTTGGTCAGTGGTCAAGGTTACCCATATTAATAAAATGCTGTAAATATATATATATTTTTTTTTTTCAATATCATTATGTATACATGTGTGTGTGTGTATGTGTATATATATATATATATAAAAAAATATATATATATTTTTTATGAATAATAATCGTTATTCAACCATTAACTGTTGTATATTAAATTATAATATTTCATGGTTGTATCAGTTGTCACACATAATGTGAACTGTGAAACAAGAAGGAAATGTGAGGATCTGAGGCTCATTTGGATTTAGTCAACTCTGAAA